ATGAATGCTCCTATCTCCGACACTTCACACAAAAAAATAACTCTTGCACGCCTTGCGTGCCTATGTTTTTTACTAGGTTACCGATTTAAATGTGACCTGTGTGATGCAGGTTATGTTGGTTACACGCGGCGGCATTTGCACCAACGCGTAGACGAGCACAAGAATGCGTCTTCCTCCATTGGAAAACATTTTCGTGTGAAACATTTTTATGTGCCCAGGGATCTTACAAAGAATTTTACCACCTTAAAAAAGTGCAGGAACAAGTTTGACTGTCTCATTTATGAAATGTTTTTTTATTAATGAACGAAGACCAAGTCTCAATGTACAGTCAGACTCAATTCGTGCGAAAGTTTTAAATCATTTTTAATCATGTTATTCTTGCATGCATTTTATTGTTCTTAACACCCTTTTTTACATTTTCATACTTTACATACTTTTACTTCTTTGTTTTATATTTGTACTTATGCAAAAATTTTTATCTTCACATTTAAGTTTTTGCTTCAAATTGTTTTAAAAAACCTTTACTTATAAGGATCTTAATTCAGCAGTTTCTACCTATACACTTTTACAGCAACCCCACTGATAAGATCCTAACTTAAAATTTTAGCCTTAATAGGTTCTTATGTGGAGGGGGCTTAAAATGAAAATTTTAGCCTAACAGGTTCTTATACGTGGGTATTCATGATCAGCAAAAAAATATCATATTTACCGTTCATGCCAGAGTGATTTTACTTATTACAAACTCATCCAGCAGGAGGAGACCCCATACAAAAGTCAGAAGATGGCTAACTGTATCTTTGGGGATCAAGTTAGAAAACAAAACTTTCCAACTTTTCACGTGTATACTATTTTGTTTTTGTTTTTGCGAGATTTCATTTGGTAGAGATTTAGGGACTGAGTATATATTGTGACCACTGCATTTCAGTCATATCCCATAGCAAAAAAATCTGCAAACTTCTTTTGTGTGGGAGTTCCCATGTTAACTTAGAAAGAATATAATGATTAATAACGATGTCTTGTCTTTCTGAATAAGGTAGGAAAGAACAAGAAATGCAACCAAAAAGCACAGAGGACAGTTCTGTTATGTGATCAAGATTTTTGGTTGCTTCCCAGAAATCCTTGAAATTGTGGCTATATTTTCATCATCACACCATCTTACACCTCGATCTGCTGATCGGCTGAAACTATTACATTGTTCGCAATTTACCTCACATACATGTTGGATTATTCTCATTAGTGACAACATCACAGGGAGCCCTCACATCCGTTTAGAATGTGAATAAAAGATTAACCTACCTTTATCGCGCGTGTTTTGTGTTTTGCGGCGGCCATTTTTGAATTTTTAATACGCGCGCAGTCTGCTAGTGCGAGGTCCGGAACCGAAATTACGGAAATCGCTCGGAGCCTGTACGGAGCTTAAAGAAAATGACACTTTATTATCCTCGGTGAGCGATCGGCTACCTCCGAGAATTTGCGAATTTTCCCGCCCGTCCCAGACTTCCGTAATTTCGGTTCCAGACTTCGTACTAGCAGACCGCGTATTAAAAATTTCAAAATGGCCGCCACAAAACACAAAACACGCGCGATAAAGGTAGGTTAATCTTTTACTACATTCGAAACGGATGTGAGGGCTCCCTGTGCAACATTTCAAAAAAATAATTCAGGAGCTCCGCTTTTAGGCTTGGCTAAATCTATATATCATTCTGAAATTAGTGTTTCAAAAAAACTACTTATAAAAATTTACGGTAAAAAATAAATAAGAACCGAAAGAAGAAAACGCGTGTGTGGACAAATAATCTTTTTTATAAGTTGTAACAGTATGGTTAGTGTAGTAAGGTACACTGAGTGTACTGCATCGGTAGTAAGGGACATTTCACAGTATCTAGTCTATGAGAGACAGACACCAGTCACCAGTTACCAGCTATCAGTCACCAGTCACCAGTCACCAGTTACCAGTCAACAATTGCCAGTGACCAGTTTCAAGTGATCAGTTACCAGTTACCAGTGACCAGCTACCAGTATTTTAGACCCGCTGATCAACTTCAGGTTATTGTAACCGTCTAAATGCAAAGTGGGCCAAATTTACAAAATAGGCGCCATATAGGCGCATGTGACTACTGCTTAAAAGGTGAAAACACAAAAAGTAGAATTGTTCTATACATGCAGTTATGTGGATAAGAATGTGTGCAGATGGTTAGATCATGAATGTTGGTGATTAGAGGCATTATTGAATGCTAATAAGCTAGAATTTTGAATTTGTACAAAAGAAGAAAAATGAAATGGTTCTCTAATAGGCCATTTTCATTGTATTAAAATTCTAACATGGCCACGAGGCTTAGGGGAATAAAACAAAAGAAATAAATGATTCATTCCTCGACCTTAATGTGATTTCTTTTCTTGTATTTCCCCAAGCTTCCAAGTTGGAATCAAATCTGGCCTTTTAGTATATGTGGGTGTCGCCAGTGTAACAGTTGACAGAATTAAGTGTAAAACTATCAGCAGTGTATGATGTATGGTGTATGAAAAGTAATCAGTAAACAAACCTGATGAGACAATCAAAAACATTTTTTAATATTTTAATACACTGATGAAACAAGATTTATGGTAAACAACACAACGAGAATGGTACCAATCATAGCAACAGTTCTGGGGTTGATTGAGAGTACCTGTATTATGGAAGAAGTAAAGGTAACTCTACAGCCGGCACTACAGGGATGAGTAAGTGAGTGAGTTAAGGCGCACACTCTAGACAGGTACATTGTGATTACCTAAAATAGTGATAACAGTCACACCAGTGAGTAATCTTGAGGTACAAAGCAGCACTCTACTGTGAAACATTGAGCCTCGTTTTTATGCCCCACTATTCATCTTCACTAAGCCCTCCATAGTTGTTTTACTTCTCTCAATTCTCAAATTGCAACATTTCAGGGGCATGCATTATTGAAAAATCCTAGATCTGCCCCTGGAATAATTAATTACAGAACAACTTGGTCAGATCTTTTAAAAAGAAGTTGTCATATCCTTATTTTGTATATCTAGAAGTAAAGAGAACAAAACATATTGAATGCATTGTTTAACAATTGAAATTGGTTTTTGGCTTTCTCCAGAGACTACTAACAGAGTAAACAGACAAAAAATAGATCGTGTGTACTAAATGCATCTGTGGTTGAGTGTCCATCAATACCCTCAATCAACCTGTAATTGACACTCGATCAAAATCTTGATTGACACTCAATTGACATCCCAGTTGATATTCGTTTGATACTCTATTGACACTTGATCAAAAGTCGGTCAAAAGTCTGCTGAGTGTCGAGCTGCACACCCCAACCCAACTTTTCTGGGAGTACCCCTGGGGGCTCTAATATTCTAATGAAACCTAGGATCACCATACATCGGGGAAAAAACATTCACCACCAGGAATTAATTCTGGATGGTTCCCTGTCTCTAGAATTCGAAAGTCAATTGATTTTCCATTGTTTAAAAAGCTTTCTGGCAGTCAGTCTGTTCACTATGATCATTTAAAACTATCAAGTACTGCAAAGCTTTCATATCATTCGTTATAGTTCATCACCAAATTTTCTCGTATTCTTATTGGTTTAAATTGATCACATGACACAATTGTGTTCATCCGCAGAGAGACACTATCAGCCCTCAGAGCCTGTCCGAGGAAAATACCCCGATTGATAGTACTTGTCTGTGAACATTTTTCTCTAAACAAGCGAGCTTATAGCAAACAAACAATTGAAATTGTATTAAGTGGGTTTTTGTCTGTTTTCTTTTTAAAATTTTACATTTGGCTTTCACGGCTTTCATCTCAAAAAGTTAAAAATAATTCAATATAATTTTTGAACTGGCCTGTGAAGATAATTTAGTGGTGAACAATAAAGACAATAGAGTGTTTATGTCTCAGAACTATCGGTCTGATAGTTGCCCCTTGGTAATTTAATGTTCTTAAAACTAGCATATTTGCTCTCGAAGCTTCCCTTCTCAAGCATATATTTGTTTCAAGAGCATCAAATTTCTGTGGAGGCGGCTATCAGCCGATAGTTCCTCGACAGAAACACTCTATTGCATTGTTTAAATAGTTTTTCGATCACTACAAGATTATCCCAACATGGTCGCTCGAGAAGCTCAATTATGAAACATTGGAGCTCGATATTTGCCCCAAAGAGGCTCAATTATTTCACATTGGAGCCCAATATTCCTCCAGAGAGGCCCAGATTTTCTCATGCAAGGTTAAAGCTACTTCAAAAATTATGGAGTATTGGCAAGGGTTTATTTACAATGCGTGGGGCCCCAATGCGTGTCAACAAATCAGTGCTCAGTACCTTAGAAATTTGCCGTTTATCTCGACCTAAATCCTTACGCAACCTTTCATCTGATCGGTTGGAAACAAAATATAACAGCTGTGAGAAGTAAACGTTGTAAAATATTTAAAAAACTCACCTCAATTTCGAAGAATACTTCCAAGAGCTGAGATTGAAGGGGGCAGCCATCGATGACTATCGGCAAATCATCGTTGATACGAAGTGTTTGCTAGAAACCGGGAGATGGATATTTGTTGCGCTGATTGGCTCCGAAGTACATTCAATTGTTACTTACTTACTTTCGGAAAACTCAGACAATGGCAATAGTGACTGCTGCATAAGCGCAGTAGTCACAAAAACACTCCAGCTGTTCTTATTATGTTGCGGGTAGATGCCTCCAAATTCAAAAGTCCAACGTCTTCTACTTGAGCATATATTATCAAAGCAAATAAAAGCAAAAAAACATGTATTCCGACGAACGAAAGTCAAATTAAGAGCTGCTGTGCTGCTGTCTAGTAACTTAATATGCAATCCATTATATTTTATTGACTAATTGCGAGTGGTTTAAGGGACTAAAATGTAATATTGATAAATGAAACGAACAAGTTCAGTTTGCAGCTCATTGCCTTGCACTTTTGCTGTTTAGTTATTTTCTTGAAGCATGGTAGAATGTGCATCAGCAACCCAACACATCTAGCTTATAGACTGTAATTCGTCCAAAAAGATCACTACTACTTATAAAAACAATCTTTAAAACTTTTAATTTTCTTGAGCTTGTGATTGGAAAAATCTTAGAGTTAAAAGTTAAGGAGTTAACACATGCTCCATAGGTATGACAGATGTATATTACCACACTGTTTATACACTACAACTAGCTGTCACAGGCTGTATATACAGTAGCTGTTTATACACTACAACTAGCTGTCAGTAGCTGTTTATACACTACAACTAGCTGTCAGTAACTGTTTATACACTACAACTAGCTGTCAGTAGCTGTTTACACAATACAACTAGCTGTCAGTAACTGTTTATACACTACAACTAGCTGTCAGTAGCTGTATATACACTAGAACTAGCTGTCAGTAGCTGTTTATACACTAGAACTAGCTTTCAGTAGCTGTTTATACACTACAACTAGCTGTCAGTAACTGTTTATACACTACAACTAGCTGTCAGTTCAGTATGTCAAAAGACACAAATTTACACACGGTCAAAGGATACCTGTAGTGAGCCAACATCATCAGGATAAAATGTAAAGAATGGAGTTAAGCTGTTACAAGAAGGTCCACCTTCAAGACAACATTCCTTCCCAACAAATCCACCTTGAAACTGAATATGAATTTCCCTCACACAACTTTCTTCAGGAAATTCCAGGATAACGAATTGAGGTGAACCCTGTAATTAGATAATTCCAAATTTAGCAATTCAAAAATTGTACTTAGCATTAAGTTTGCTAAACTTCCTGTGTATTTAGATGTCATGTTTGAGGGTTCAAGTTACTAAACTCAGTACCATAATAAAATTGGGAAGTTAATGAAAAATAAAGTGCTGTGTATTATTGTACATAAATAAAGGCTGTATGTAACTCTTAATTACATGTGTTATATAATGTATCCTAGCTGGTATAATTACTTCTTACCACTGTCACAAGCTACACAAGCATAATTTTTTCTTGAGGCAAGTCATGTTCCAACCCATTTCAACTAAGTTTGATCATTTTTGAGAGGATGGGTTTGAAAAAGTTTAGGTTCATAAATGTTTTGCTTGAAGTGAAATAAACATGTCATGTTTCATTTGTCCAGTGTGATGTTTTGTTCAGTTAGTTACCTAGTTGCTATGGAAACTTCAAGTACATGAACATCTTATTCTTAACTTTTCTAAAGGGACACCAACATGGCGATTTTGCTGCATTTTACTTTGAAACAGTGCTAATTACCAAGTACCTTCACTTACGTGAAATGCTCCTAGAACACCAAGATGATATAAGATGAATTGTTGAAAGGAAAGCAAATTGAAATTAGTTGTAACCGATTTTTCCAAGGCAAGACCACAGACTTTGAAAACCCTACCAGGCTTGTTCAGTTTGACATCACAACCTAGTGCATGTATTTTTCTCAAACTCATCAATAATTCCACAAGCCACCCAGGTATAACATAAGAGCTTGTATGGAGAACTATGGCTGAAATATTAAGAGTTTGTATGGAGATTAAAAGATGACATCAATCAATGTATGGGTAATTTACCGCATATTAAGACTCTCTTTAACATTCAATGGTGTCATTTTTTCTCATCCTGCAGAGTTAAAACGATGATTGGAAATGTGGTCAAACACTGTCTTTCGTGTTTGATACATTACTTCACGATAACTCTCCTTTCATAGCTCTGGTGAACTTGTATGGTCATTTTGAACAGCACTAAATCTTTATAGTTATGCCTCATTCATTGAATACATGTCTTTTAGGTGAGAACTTTTAAAGGTAAAGCTCATGATGGTGCCCCTTTCAATCAAAATAAACACGTTGCTGTATATTTGTCATTTAGTTGTTTGTATGCGCATTTTAATTTGCCCTGCAGACTTTGAAAAATACAGCAGAGCTTTGCTTTACTTCTTTTCCACTAGGTCAAGCTTCAAACCACAGGCAGCCCAGACTTAAATACAATTAATATACAGATTTGGCCAAGCCTAAAAGCAGAGCTCTTGATTGCAATAAGTTAACCATACAAGTAAAAAAAAAAGATTTGTCTTTCTTGGATCAGAAACTCAAAAAATGATCAATCTTTAGCATGTAATTGTTCAGCATGTGGTTTCACTATTTATTTTTCCAGTTTAAAACTTAACACTGGGACTTTCAAAGAAAAGAGGGGTTAATTCAAGCAGAAATGCAATACAAACATAAGGTAAGCCACTTTTATTTAAATTATTTTCGTAGCATTCAGAGCAATAATTATTTTTGAAACATTCTCATACATTGTCTTATAACCAACTAAAATTGTAACACAATCGCCAACAGCATTAATGTCACGCATTAATTGTATTCAACGTCTGGGTTGCCTGTGTTCAAACTAAAAAAAAATGTCAAAAATATGTGTACCCCTTATCCTGTTACTTCCGAAAGCACAGTGGCATACTGTTTACTGCATTGCCCTTCAGATTGTGTGTTCTAACCTTGTTCATTGTGTTGTGTTCTGGCCCATGCAAAAATGAGGATGGAAAAGGGTATTTTCGTGATTCGTGAATGGCCAAATTTTTTTCATGTGAAATGTGAAATGGCTTGTTATTTTCTCGTGAATCATGATTTCATTAGAAGTCGTAAACCGTGATTTTCCAAAATAATATTTCTCCGTGAAATGAGAAAGAAGTATTTAATTCGTCGTGAACCACGATTCTGGTTGTGTCTTCTGGTTGTGTCTGAGCTAAAGGGAAATAGCGGTATATAAGTAAATTATTATTATTATTATTACTATTATTATTATATTATTTTCGAAAGTAATTAACCCATAGACTCCCAGAGCTTTTTGCCAAAAACGAATTTTTTGGAGATTTTGGAGATTTTCAGGCTGGATATGGGCTAAAGTAGCCTCAATCTACTCAAAAAGGCATTTGCAACATGACAGCATGCCTTTTTTTCCCACTAGCATTGCATTTTATGACATTTTTGCTCGGGCTTGCGCAGGTCAAAGTGACCTGTATTGTTGGGTTTTTGTTTCTTTTTAATTTTTTTTCGCCTTTCCCTTTTACCTTTTCTTTCTTTCTTCTTACTTTTTTTTTTTGCTGCAGTGATTGACCTTCCACTGGGATCTACTGGGCTTGCTTCCAGTTCAAAAAATTCTGAGAAAGCATCATCGAGATGGGCAATTTTTAGTCACAGGAAATTTAGCTCCGAGTTTTTCACTTAAATTTCTGAGCATTTTGCGCATATTTCAGGCTCCATTGAGCCGGTCACTCTGATCTGGGTATCATTGGAAAGATCTTTTCCTCCTGCAGAAGTTGACTATAGATGATGCCAATTTTGGTCAAAGGTAATGACGTCAAAAGTGGAACAAAGGCCAAGGTTCATCACGGCTGGTTACAGGTGCACGGGAGTTAATGGGTTAACAATATTTCATGACTGTGACAGCACAATCATCCCTTTTCGTGTTCTTGCTCGGATTTCTATTTGCTGTGCACATAACAAAAAGCAGACAGATGATAAAGACATCTAACAAGGCTGTGCTTTGGGTGTAACTTTTCAAATATCATAAGTTACGTAAGTTCGTGTCAAAAAATGCCTTTTTTTCGTGAAGCATGAAATGCCAACTTTATTTCCTGTCAATTGTGAAAGGACCAAATGAATTTATTTTCCGTGAAACGTGACCTTGACACCCCCCCTCCCTTTAACAGGTGTATGACATTAGCATACTACAATTAACACTCTGGTTGGCCTAAATATCACACTGATTAGCCTGTAAGGCACTCAAGGTAGCCTTTTACAGTAAGCTCTCGGCGATGGAAATGTGGATGCTATATTAGTCAAAAAGTCTGCAGTCTGCAGTCTGCAACTGTCTTATTATACTGGTTGTCGGACAAGACACTTCAGTTATATGACGCCGGTGGCCAGAAAAAAATCTTGACTGAGGCAATGTCCATTGTTTAATTCTCTTATTCATTCGCTAGCGTTGTTTTACGTCCCCCCTTAAAAAAAAAGACAAAACAAAACAAAAACTAAAAAAAATGACTGGGGTATTTAATTAGTGCCTCGGTTTGTCTCATACTGGCTACGGCCCTGTTCCACATTGCTTATCTCCACTCGGGAGGACAAATTGACACAGACAAACTGTTAAGGTGAACTAACAAAGGGCTAGCATGTAACTACTAACATCCCACCCAGGCCAGGCAGCAACAATCCTTGCCACAAGGTCTGATGGTGTGGGCCACCTTGGCTTGTAGGTGCAGAGTACCTGCTGTACCTTATTTAATTTGTCATTTATAAGAATTTTAAGAAAACAACAAAATGTTTGAGTTTACAAAACTTGTTTCGACAGAAACTTCTGTCATCCTCAGTTAATCCAAGTACAAAGTGATGGAAGCTGAATTTATAATAAGTAAGAAAATGCTAATTGTGATAAATAGTGACAACAGAATGAAGCAAAGCATGAGAGTGTGATAATTGAAGAGATAATTTTAGATTAACATGGTGTAATTGTTGATTCAAATAGGGTTGTTCTCTCTGAATATGAATAGCCTCTCAAACATTTTGTCGTTTTCTTCAAATTCTTTACATGTCTGCTACTATCAAGACCCTTGGGAAGCATCATTTATTAAAAAGCTTTTTACAATTGAAGGCTTTCGTGCAAAAAAGGAGTGTATAGCTTTTTGGGCCGATTTTTATTTTTTGCAGGATTGAGCTACTTTTTGGCAGACTGACTTGTTTTGACATGAAAAGCATTGTTGTGTAATTGTTTTTGTTCATTTGTGCTTTGTTTTTGAGAAATGACAGATGCAAAAAAACTCAGTTTTCCAAGTGGCACCTTTTGGAGTGAATCCTTCGAAGGTGGATTTCAATGCAACGTGGACTTAGATGGTTACTTCTAGCAGCTTCAACAGCACAGTTTTTCTTTTAAAATAGATGTTTTTATTTTTGTGAGAAGTAGAGAAATAGACCAGAAAAAAAATTGACCGACCTCGTATTGAACCGGTGTCACAACAAAACAAACTCAAATCCGGCCTGCTCAGTGCCTTATTTGCTTGCGCTAACAAAGCAACAGTAAGAAAATAGCGCACTATTGGGATGGTTTGGGGGTTGACGTCGCTAAAGCACTATGGCACATTAATGTTTGTATAATTAATTAATTTCAATTACTTAAGGTCATTCCCCAGTATTGCATCGCGCATCCTTACTGCGCATAATTTATGGCGTCATTGGCGCGTGTTTGTGCACGCGCACATTGAAAACATGGCAGATTTACCTTGATATTGAGTTCTGACAGTTGAAAACTGGCTATAGCTCACTAAAAAGCTCGGGCACCCCAAATTTTTTTCAAGTCATTTTAATCATTAGCTTTGCTTGAGAAAAGACTGATCTGATTTCTATGTTTGAAAATTTAATAAGAAAAATAGCAGCCACACCGTAGTCTTTTCTATTTTGCAGTTTGATTGCCGTGACAAGCAATTTGGTTCAAATTTTTAACAAGGATTCAGCTGTCTATCAAAATCAAACTTATAAAGTTTATTTGCATCCGACACAAGTATTGACTGTAGTTTGAGGCGTGTTTTCATTAGTCTGGGCTCACAAAAACTTTGTAATGACTTGGAATGCGTTCTTGTAATAAGCATTAAATAACGCTAAAATGGGACATTTTCAATGCCTCACTGCTCCTTAACCCCCAAAGTTTGAACAAAAATCTACATTCAGTTTCATTTCAGGGGAATTACCTCAATTGGGCTTGCAGCAAGGGGGGTAGGATGGGGTAGGTACTTTTGAGCACTACGGAAAATGAGTGGCGCATATACCTACGTTACTCTTTTGATCACTTTAAAAAACTATATATTTGTTTCAGAAAGCCCCTTGCTCTCCTCGTGGTACTTTTCTCTTTGGAACAAAACCAATATTTACTGTAAACGAATGCGCAGATTAATAAGCATTAGTGTCAACCACATATCAGGAGGAAGATACATTTCATACAAGATGACACACTACACGTTGAGCACTTTTCCTTGTGATAGAACCTAATAAGTCATACGCATGCGTTCTAGCATAGTTAGCACGATACAAGAATGCTACTGTAACTGCGTGTCTTCTGGAATTTATACGCCTAACTTGGTTCAAGAAATATCATCTGTTGTTTCCAAACTACACCAGTGGATTTATTTCATCTTTTTCAATTGTCTCTATCAAAGAGACCAAAATGTTCATACCCGCAGCCGAAACTCTCCCGAGTAAGTGGCATTAAAACTTGTCAACTTGTACAGTACAAAAAAAACAGGAAACTGCTCAAATACTGCTGCAGACTCTGTGGCACCTACTGAAAGCATAAATTTTATCAGTCTTTGAGGGGAAGCATCCACCGGTGAAGGATATAATCTAGGTCAAGTAGCACTGTTTACTTTCAATACCTCTTGTTGAAACGCTTCTCACTTGTATTAATCGATATAAGCGTGTGTTTTAAATTTAAGTGCTTTTATTGTTAAAGCCAAAGGTGGCAACAAAACGTGCTGTTCCACAACAATTTGATAATTACATTAGTTCTTGTTTATCAGTCACAGGTAACTAAGTTTTCTCACTGAAGACAGCATCAAATGTTCATGAAAAAGAATTAATTTTATATTTCCAAAAACCATATCAGACTGTAAAAAGTGAAAATTAGGAAACATTGTCTCCCCAAGCTTCTAATTTGGCGCCAACGGCCAAAAACTTGAGTGTCGCCAGCCCACCGGGGTCGCCAAGTAGGATGATAGTTGGGTTATTCTGAACAAAGTATGTATGACTGGATTTATGAAAACCATGTTAAGGCTTTGCACCAAAATAGCGGGCATGTTTTTGGAAAATCGGACTGATATAAACAAATCGTGTGCCAATAGTGAAATCTCTTTTTGACATACACATTAGTCTGCTTATCTTGTGGTGTTCTCTTGGGAATTCTGGAAGGGGTCAGTTAGAAATAAAGAATTGAAGTGGCATAGTTATCAGTGTGTGCTGTGGAAACCCATACTTCATGGATTACTATAATTATATTCTTCCAAGTCAATCACTTGGCAGTCCAAAAGAGAACAATATAGGGGCTCTACAATACACTGTAAATGTCTTACCTGATCTGAATTCCAGCATGTGTCCTCATTTTTATCAAACATGTATTTCTTTCCATAATGACTACAATCTCGGTTTAAAACAGAGCTGACTCTTTAAAATAAGGACAAGTTAAAGAATATTAGGATGGAATACTATACACTGTACACTCAGATAAAAATTGAAGCCGGTTGACATAAATATGTTACATCACACCAGTTTTAAAATTAGTTTGGGCGGGTAAGATAATAACTTAATACATATAGTATATGATTGCACTTGTGCCATACTACAGCTGCTCATTGTCAAATAACACAAACTGCAAATGCTTGTGTGACTCTTATGAAAAAGGTTATGCCTATCCTGGCTATAAATAATGAATTCCATACAAATACTTTAATTGTTCAACCAGTGGTTATCCTGGTAAAATCCAATTTGAACAATTCATCATATAAACACTCCATTATTATCGTTATTATTACTATCAGTACTATTACTATTACTGTTACTGTTACTGGTGCTGGTGCTGGTGCTGGTGCTGGTGCTGTTGCTGTTGCTGTTACTGTTACTGTTATTATTATTAGTATGGGTTATCATACGGTTTCGAGTTCAGTTTGGAATTAATTTGCACAAGTGAGTTTTTCAAAAAGCTGAAATTGCATGAGCCACTTTGGCGAGTGCAATTGAAGTATTCAGCTAGTCCTTAAACCCAGAATGGCTGAACAATGGAATGCCAGAACGCCAGAACACAGGAATGTCGGAACATCAGAATACATGTACTTAAACCCAGAACGCCGCTATGCTAAAACCCAGAGCACAAAATTACTAAAAACTGGAACACATAGTGAATCCTAAACACCAGATTAATAAAACCGGGAACACAAAATTACTAAAACCAGGAACACATAAGAAGCGCTAATGGTGGATTACTTAAATGTGGTCTAAAATAGGTCCGCAATGCATACTTGTGGGCTTATGCATAGTTTTATTCCATTCAGTTACAGATTTTTGTTTTTAAATGAAAGTATCTGGTAGTTGAATTGCAAGTAAGAAGTAAGAAGTAAGAGTAAGTAAGAAGGCAATCAATGGAAAGATAAAGGTGTAGAAATAGGTAAATTATGTAACATATATTTTTTGGATCTGTGGTATCAACATAGACAAGTTGTTACAACTTTTGAGTGGGAAGCTCATTGCAGAATACTGCTTACTTGATTAAATTTGTAGGGTATGCACAATTGACAGATTTTGGTTAAATTTTGCAAAAACATTCCAGGAATAATGACAAACAAACGTATGTTGAGAAATGTTGATATTTTGCATATTTTGCCTGTGGCGTCCATTTACGCAACACATAATTACTGAACTGGCAAAGCCGCACACTGTAGCACTATCTATGTAACCATAGTTACATATGAGGTGGCCTTAACTAAAAGTCTGGTGGTTTCTAGAGGTCACCTTGCCATACATTGAAATATTTATAAACAATTACTGTATTAGGTAAAAAGGCAAATAAACAGAATGAGTAAATGAATTTTGCATATTCTTAGCTACTCCAACTTTCGATGCGAATATCTAGACAACCAATCAGAATATCAAATAAGCCTATTGGTTTTGGTGACTATTGATTTCTTAATTTTTTCCCTTCCTACTGAATCTTTTTAAAATTGGTTTATATAGCAGCCAATAATATTATTATTGCTCTTAGTCGTCATCAAAAATTTTAAAAAATTTCACCAACCAGAAGCGGAGATATAGACGCGCGAATTTGAAAATGAGGACAAAAATTGCTAGTTGACAAGATCCGTGTTTACGAATGTAGACAAGCTTGAATTAACATAACTATTAGCATAAAATTTGCATATCTGCCCATGCACAATTTTGTTCACATTCTCATCTACCTCGTGGTTCAAGTTGTTAGCTCATGTTCTTTTTGATCTCAATTCACATACAACTTATGTGCAAACTATAAGACTCTTTACCAGTCTGAGAATACACAGTTAACATGGACTTAAGCTTCCTCGTACCAGAATGCACTGAGTTTTTCACTCGCTCAATTGAGTCCATGCACGCAGAAGAATCGGCATTAGTATTTGTACTATTTGTGAAAAGGAGATATTTTTTCGCTCGATATTTTTATGGATGAATTGATCAGAAGAAAAGTGACAAAAGTAGGTGGGTAAAGTTTGCACAAATGCACTTCAATATCTACCTAATGCAAGAAATGCTCTCTTGTCTAATGTTGTTTGTTATTCGTCACCTAATTCGGCGTCGACAAAATCTGGATTGGACCGGACCGGATCACGGATCGGATCACGGATCGGATCACGGATTGGATCACGGACCGGATCACGGACCGGATCACAGAAAAAAAAAACAGTTTTAAAGAAAAAAAATCCCCCCCAAAAAATCAAATCACTTATAAGATAATAATGAATAAAAAATAAAAGTGGAAAACTAAAATATGTTAAATGAAAATACGAATCCCGAATTTGACGCAATGACATGTTAATTACAGAGAATGACAAGAGGTTGCTTAAAAAGCCACATAAGCGCCTAATTTACGACGAATTTAAATTGTAATGAACAGGCAGATGTAGTTATATTTGAACGTTAGTTGGCTCGAAGCTTGCGTGAACTCCCATTCTCGGTTTTGAAATTGTTGTTAGTATCAGTAGCTAATTCTCGGCTACATTTTCGTGTCAGATGTGAGTGTTGCAGTTGGCGTTACAGTTAATTAGAGAACTTACGTACGAAAGCTTAAGGACATGGTTTACTTTAAAAGCGCTACGTCACGATTTGCGCATCTTGAAAAAAAACTAGTCTAGTTTTTCAAGTTCGTCATTTGCAGTCCTTGTTAATCTTTGCCATCCTTAACCATATAACGATCCTCATTCCGTTTTGATTTGTTCTTGCCTCTTAAGTGTTTCCTATCCTAGAACACAAACATGTTAAGGTTTTATTCTATTTAAAGGCAACTCTTTACGACCCTAAGAATGACTCTGAAAATTGTGACGTAACTCCTAAAATGTTGTTTATTCTCGGGTTGCGTTATCGTTCACACTGTCGATGTTATTCTTGTAATTTTTTGTAAAACAGTTGTATTTCCTTGAAATACAGATGGTTTGTCTCGTTTTATTCCAGTGTGAAATATCGTATTCCAAACTCGCATCTTGTAAAAGTATAGACTTGTCTCAGACGGAAATTGTTTGAAATCATCAGGTGTTTAATTTGTTTAGTGGTTTTAGTTTTTGTGTTTCGATTCATACGTTCGGCCTATTATTACCATGCTGACTCGTTTTATGACTGTCTACCATTGATGCAAGTGAATATACGAAATATCATTTATCTGAACTGCGGAGAAAGATATGAAGACATGATTGATCATCACAATCAAAACCCAACAGCCTGAAAAAAATTCATCTGAGACCAGCTCCCAGTTGGCTTGATATTATAAAAGTATAAAGGAATGTCACGTTCTGCTCACAGTAGTCACTCTAGCGTAATTTGCTCAACAAAATTTTGAATTTTGAATTTTGAATCTTCAATTTTCAATTTTGAGTTTTTTTCCTTGATCCGATCTGTGATTCGATCTTTGATTCGATCCTTGATCCGTTCCGTGATCCGGTCCGTGATCCGATCCGTGATCCAGTCCGTGATCCGGTCCAATCCAGGTTTTGTCGACGCCGTCACCTAATTTGCACTTGCTTAAATCATCATTACAACTGTGGTATTCACAGCTTCATTTTAGTTGTCTAAATGATCGCTTGTAATAGTTTCATTCAATTTCAGACCTTGCATGGCCGGTCTTACTAGTGTGTTGAAAATTTGAAAGCAAGAAAAACAAATAAGTCCTAAGCTTATCTCAACAAAACACTTCACATTGTTCGCTAGTGCTGTACCTGTCTTTCCTCGTCCCTATCACACAAAGTTTTCTTCTCTCCATATCGCCTTTCAGTATTTAAGGGCGTGATTACATGGCGAATTTCAGCCTGGTTAGCTGGGCTGAAATTTCAGCTTGGTTAGCCGGGCTGAAATTTCAGCTCGGCTTCTGAAACAAATTCTCATGAAATCAAATTGGTGATTACATGGGGAAGGATTCAGCCCGGGCTGCAATTCAGCCTGGGCTGAAAATCCTAGCCCGGTTTTTCAAACCGGGCTAGGATTTTTAGGCAAACTGGCCAAAAAGTCTGAAAAAATCCCATGTAATCGAAACGGAATTTCAGCCCAGGCTGAAAAGCAGGAAATAAGATGGCTGCTGCTACGAAGTAGAAGCAGTCTCAGTGGAATAAAGGCAATAAAATAGAGAATCTCTCTAATTTTAAGGCTTAGATGGAATATAAGAACATCGAGACAAGGTTAAACAGCACGAGGCTGTCAGGGAGGCCGTGAACTCGGCAAGCTTGAGGACATATTTTCTTTCTATGCAAGTACACCTTTCTGGCTAAGAGACAGGTTTCGTTTCAGTTCCATCATCATTGTAGGGTGTTACTATCCCAAAAAGTTAAAAATTGAGCGCCAACAAAAGGTCAAACTACGAGAGAAGCAATGCGCCTATTTTCCCGATTCGTGTTCTCGGCACCATTTTGATTCTCAGGTGACCTTTCGCACACAATTTCATATTTGAAGCCGAGGCTAATATTTCAGCCCAGGCTGAAATTCGTTATGTAATCACAACAAAATTTCAGCCCCCCCTAGCCAGACTGAAATTTCAGCCTAGGCTGAAATTCGCCATGTAATCAGGCCCTAGTAACTGCCCAAGCATTTCATTGTTTTGTTTTTGTTTTAGCTTTCGAATTTTGCCAAATGACGAAATGCGATCAAATGTGTCACGAAATTCAACTATCGATCTTCATGGGCTGTGTTTTAGGTGTTTTTCCGTCCACCTCTTTTTTACTTTCACAGTATGTTTTCTCCCCAACACATTCTGTATGAAATCTCCCCAGAGCAAATGAGTAAACAACTCCTGCTGGACACATAAATCTGTGTGGGACTCTGCAAGAAAAGGTATGATCGTTGTTGAGATTTTTCTCGGTCAATGTGAGTGGAAGTGACGTAAACATAACGCTGAAGTGAGGAAGTAACCAAGGAAGATACATTCCTGATAGGTGGCAGCA